CAGAGCTCGCTCGTACCGCTTCAGCAAGGCCACCAGTCTGTTCTTTTGCTCGGGTGTGAGGGTCGAGCTGATGATGACTGCAGCTTATTCCCCTCCCGGAGAAACGCATACTCCAAATGAGGAGGGAGGGGCTTAAGCTCCAGCTCTGGTGGTTCCTCCAAGGAAGTAGCGATGCGGGTGGAGGATGAGATCGGTTTGAACAGCCTGTCGCCCTCCAAGAAGGGGCCACTCTCCAACTCAGCCAACTGCTCCGCCAGCTGCGGCTCCTGCAGCCTGCTCACGTAGCAAAATACAACGCTCAAGAGCATCGTCAGTACCCGCACTCGATATAGCGAGTGCGATCTCAAAATCAGTAAGCATATCACAATAATCTATGTCATCATGCAAATGAGAGTGTTTCCCATTCTCAGACACAAAGAAAGTAGCCTGTTCATCACCAGCACGCAGAATCAATTTACCACTATGCACATCAATAAGCGCCTTGGCGGTGGCGAGAAACAGTCTACCCAAAATCAAAGGTACATCCACATCCTCATTTATATCCAAAATAACAAAGTCAACAGGATATGTGAATGCACCCACATTAACAAGCAAGTCCTCAATGATACCCCTAGGATGCATGATAGAACGATCAGCTAACTGAATGCTCATCCTAGTAGTTCTAGGTTCACCTAGGCCTAGCTTCTTAAACATTTTATAAGGCATGACATTTATGCTAGCGCCTAGGTCCGCCAAGGACTTTCCTACATGCGTGCTGCCAATAACAAGAGGGATAGTGAAACTCCCTGGGTCTTTTCGCTTCTCGGGCAGCTTGTTCTGTAAGATAGCACAACACTCCTCGCTCAACATCACTGTTGAAAGATCCCCAAGTTTCTTCTTGTTGGTGAGGAGGTCCTTCATGAACTTGGCATACTTGGCCATCTTTGACAGTGCCTCCACGAATGGCATGCTGATGTTGACCTGCTTCAACATTGCCATGAACTTGGCAAACTAAGTCTCCAGCTTGTCTTTATGTAGGCTAGTGGGGAAAGGGAGCTGGGGTACATGCTCCTTGACCACTGGCTGTGGCTTGGGAGCAGGGGCTTCCTTCTCCACCTACACTTCTGCATCGTCGGCTGGAAGTGCTGAAGCAGGTAGTGGTTCCTCCTGTCTGGCCGGGACAGGATCAGCAGATATGGTCTTACCGCTCCTGGTAAAAATGGCATCCAGGTAGAGTCCCCGGTGCCCTGGTAGTGTTTTGGCGGGCCAAGATACCCACCTGGTGCTGCAGATCTTGCAAAATGGCACCTTGGTTCCTCTGACCTGCCTCCAGTGAGGCTATGCTTTGGTCCAACCTCGCGACAGTTGCCTGAGTGCTAGTCATGAATGAAGCGAGAATATTTTCCAGCTTCGTTATCTGATTATCTGGAGACGGAGCTGCTGCTGGCTCGGCAAACTGACGTTGGGGCTGCTGGAATGGTTGCCACTGCCTAGGCTGGTAGGGCTGTTGCTGTGGGGCTGGCCCCTGTCTAGCCTGGAAAGGCTGCCTCTGCTGAAAACCACCAGCTGGTGCTGGGAAACCAGGTGGTTTAGTGGTGTTGCTGCTCCAAGCGAAATTGGGATGCTGGCGCCACCCCTCATTATATGTATTGTTGTACGGGTCGAGGCGCCGAGCATTGGCGATGAAGTCCAACTGCTCTTGGGGAGTATTAGACTCCCTCATAGCCTGGCAATCTTCCACTAGGTGATTTGAGCTCTCACACCACTGACATTGAGCTACTGGAGGTGTAGCCAAACCTCTGCCCGGAATAAGACTGTTGGGCTGCTTCAATGTCTGCACTAAGTCAGCTACCTGCTGCTCGAGCCCGGATCTGGTCTCCATGGCGTGCACACCACGGTCCCGGGAATGTCTACCTCTGCTGCTCTGCCCCCAAGAATGATCTCTGGCAGCCAAGGTATTTATCATATGGTTCAGCTCGGGTGGAGTCTTAGTAAGAATATCCCCTCCTGGGCATAGAGACTCAATCACCCTCTGGCTGTCCGGAGAGAGAGCGCTGTAGAAGTTCCCCACTATGAATGGATCACTGAAGCCATGATGGGGACACTGCCAGAAATATCCCATGTACCGCTCCCATGCATCACGAAGTGACTCGTCTGGCTCTTGGCGGAAGTGAGTGATCTCCCGCTGGATCTCTATAGTCTTCGATGCTGGGTAGTACCTGTGCACGAATTTGTCAGCCAGATCGTCCCAAGAGGTGATGGACAATGGGGGCTGGGTCTCCAACCACCTCTTAGCATTCCCCGCCAGAGAATGGGGGAAGAGATGAAGGCGGATTGCATCATCAGGGACACCATTCAGCTTGAACCCGTTTGTCAGCTGCAGAAAACGGGAAAGATGTACCCTGGCCTCCTCATCCTTCAAGCCATGGAACTAGATAGAGGATGTAATGAGCTGAATCCAGCATGGCTTGATCTCGAAGTTGTTTGCTGGAATAGGCGGGTAGAGGATGACCGGGCGGATGTCAACAATCCGTGGAGTGTAGTAGTACTCCAAGGTGGGACCCGGCGGTGGTGGATGATGATGAACCCCATGATCCTGGGGTATGGGGTTGTTCCCCTGGACTTGATTCACCGGGGGAGCCTGCTGAGGATTTGTAACATCCCGTTTCGACTAAAATCGTATTTCGCTCGCTAGAAAATTTCACGATTTAAAATCGAGCATTTCGACACTTTTTCGACGAAAATCGGATTATTGATCGATCGGATAAGTATACGTATTAATTATATATATAATTTTATATATATATATATATATCCCTGTACACTTAAATTCCCCACCACCGTTCATTTCTCCATTTTATTCTTCTTTCTGTACGGACCGAGAGTAACGGAGAAACAGAGCATCACGCAAAGCTCCGGGGAAAAATTTCCCCAGCTCGATTCTTAAGCTACAGTGATCCAAAAATCCCGTAAGTAATGCCTAATTCATCTATTCATCGTGATTTATCGATTTAGAGTTTTAAAACGAGATTTTGGTTCAGGAATTTCTTGAATTCCCAATAAGCCAAATTAGGGTTTCGGAGTATCCGGAAGCCGGATTGAGCCCAAATTTCATATACGAGCTTCCTGCAGCGAGGTAATCAATCCTCTAGTTCTAATCTCTGAATTTCGACAATTATTTAGGCCGGGGTCCGAACCGCTAAATTTAGCTCCGGCCAGGGTTTGATGTGTTTTTATCAAGAATTTGACCCGGAGCCTAGAACTAATATTGACGGGGATACTGCAGGGGATATTAGGACGGTCTCGGATTTTAATTTGGGGTTCGTTCGTGAAATTGACGTTTTAGTACGGGAAGCTAAAACCGGTGTTTGAACGGCCAAAGCTGGTGAGGGATTAGCACGGCATACCGGGTTTGTCGTATCACGATAATTATATTGATGCTTAGAATTGACCTAGGTGAACTAGAATGGCATGATTAGGGGTGTATGGACTTTTGTGTTATATGATGAACCCTGGACTGTTGTATGATATTATTGATTTGCCCTAGCCGATATGGACCTTGTTTATGTTGATGATTGCATACATGTTGCCATTTGTGGCTTAACCGTTGTTATGAATTCATGGTTGTTCGATCAGGTGTTTTGATATGATGTGATATTGTGGTTGTATTTGGATTCACAAGTGGGGGAAATAAACTTCCCAAGGTGATATTATGATGTTTAAGGAGGATGACTTGCACGAGGGTTTATCCCGAGGAAGTGCAATTATACGACTCCTGATTTACCTATGTCGAGCCAATTATGGCCAGGTCAAGTACATGTGCAGGTAACGAATTATGATTAAGCAAGATGAGATATGAATCATGTATAAGGATACCAAATATGAGTGTTGTGGTCTCACGGTCAACTACATAGTAATTAGGGCTCCCTATGCTATTACTCTATTATGATATGTATGATAGTCACACCTCTCATGTGGTGGTGACTGAAGAATTCTTACGAGATATGACCACACCCAGAGTGGTGTCGGGGTATGACTACACCCATAGTGGTGTGGGGTATGTATGACCACATCCGACGGGATGTTGGGGTATGTATGACTACATCCGACGGGATGTGGGGTATGTTTCCCGGGAGAGTTATTAGCATGGGAGTAGCCAGGCGCCTATAAGTAAAACATGATAAGATGCATATGCATAAGTCAAGGTGGTTGAGTCTTTTGCCTATTGGGATGTCGGAGGGCTGAGATCTGATCCTAGTGCTTTGGCTTGTTTGCTAGATGTATGGTAGGGGTATGCTCTGTTATGAACTCACAATGTTATGATTATCTCACTCAGCTATGAGCTGACCCTCTTTTATTCTTCCTCTCTGCTTATGCTATGTGTAAGCAGATCATCATCAGCAGCAATAGATAAGTGTTAGGTGGGAGCTGAGCTAGAGTTGAAGGCAAGATGAGGTATGGTCTTCAACTATTCTGTGCTTGGACTACTACTCGGGATTTTGGCCAGTGATCCACACCTTTTTGAAAAAATGTTTTGAGAACGTTTTTCATGTGCATACTAGCTTCTGATCTAGTGTGAGATATCCACAGGTGTGGAAAGTTAATGATATGTGTATATTTTTGTAATTGTGTAAGTTATGACGATTATGGTATGTATAAGTATGGTATGCAGTTAGGAAGTATGAAAAGTGTGACTATGGCTAAGAAAAGCCAATGCATATGGTTGTGAGTATATATGTTTGTGATGAATTATTTTGCAGGATAAGTTGCAAGAACTGTTAGCCCATTACGCGAGTAATTCATGTCGAAATTTTATTTGGGTAAATTTTGATAATTAATGTAACGCCCGAGATTAATTCCGCTGCAATTGTATGAACAATATGATTAGGCAAAACGTATAGGGTAGTGTGTTACAGTTTGGTATCAGAGCCCGGTTCCCTCTTTTTGTTGTTATGGCGTACTATACCCTATGGGAGGTTAAACACTCCTAAGGAGGGGAGTACCCCATAATGACTTAAACTGGGAATTGAGTTTGACATGATTATGTGTATTGGTATATTGGATGAAATTACATGCATCATGGTTTTCAAAATTGAGTTTTGAACTTATTTGTTTTCAAGTAATTATTTTGGAAATTTTTTGTTTTAACCAAGTGAGAGATTTGGTGAAGAATGAATTTTGGGTGGATCAATCTAAGGCCAATATTTCCTTGTAGCTCGCATGGAAGTTGTGAAAATGTTCCTACTGACTAGTCGAGAGGAGTGGGGGCGGTTGATGCAAGACCGCCAGTATTAGATTATGCAAAGATGAAGAGTTTGGGTGGTAGGGACTTTAAAGGAGATGTGAGTCCGGATGCTGTGGTAGAGTGGTTGAGGGAGATGGAAGATGTGTTTGAATATCTTTATGCGACCCCAGAGGAAAAAGTACAATATGTTGTTTTTCTCCTAAAGGGGTACGCGAGGAGCTGGTGGTCTTCAGTCTCTAGAGTTAATGGTGAACGAGTTCAGTTCACCTGGGAGGAGTTCCTGAAGGCCATTAAGACAGAGTTTCTTCCCGAAGCTTTTATCAGGGCAAAGAACAATGAATTTGCCAACCTTAAGCAGGAGAATATGACAGTTACTGAGTACACCATCAAGTTTGTTCGACTGCTTTACTTTGAGGATGGGTTGGCGGATACTGAGCATAAGAAGAAGATGAGATACTTGCATGGTCTGCGCATAGGGTTGAAAGAAAAGATCCACAAGGTTGATGAAGAGAGTATGGCCACAATCAAGGAGGCAGCACTTAAGTATGAAGCCTATGAAGTTGAGAGCCGAGAGGAACACAAGGCCAAAGAAGAGGAGAAGAAGAGGAAGTTTGGAGTAAATTATGCTGGACCTCGTTACCCAAGGCCAAAAAACTTGACTCACTCCTACTGTCACCCTAGAAAATGGCCAAGTGAAACCACTTCCTAAGGCGTAGTATAGCGGGTTTGGGTTTTAATGTCAACCCAGGTCCTAGATTTGATGACTACTCGGTGAATTCTTGTTATCTAGCAATGAAACTTTAATGCAAGTCTAAACTAACAAACAAGCAAAGCAACTAAACGGTTGTTTTCAGGTTAAGAGAGGTCACCCGGATATGGTTCCCCCTAGACTGCAGTTAAGCAGGATTGCAATTACCAAGTTCAGTTTCTATAATAGTTATACTGCGGAAGGTTCTTAAATAGCCTGAAGTCTCGACTAAAGGTCTTCAGACACTCTCAATCTGAGTCTCTAGCGGGCGACTAACCTCCACCGGAGTAAACAGATTGAGGCCCTAACGAACAAAACCTCCACTACCGAAGTGAATTCGGTACAGAATAGTGCGTTGGCTCCTCGACTAAAGAAGCCATTAAAAACCTTCCATCTTTAGGTTTACCCTTATAGTTGGACATTGTCTCATCATGAGAATGGACTTTGAATAATTTCACAATGTCAGACCATCATTCACAACTTTGTTTTCTCCTTGAACCTAGAGGTTGGGTCTGCCAATCCTGCTTAGGTAGAGTTACCGCCATGATGATTTGTCCTAGGCCACGAGTCCATCCCTTCGTTGCTTAAATTAATTTCTAGATGGGCCCCACGTTTGTTATCACTTGATCTAAACTGATCATCTCCGATAACTTTGCTAGAAATTAACCAATCAATAATGTTATGTTTCTACTTTCTACGACGAGATTTTTTCACATAACACTTCTAGCCCTTGTAATAACCATTTTGTGCACAAATGCGTTTTATTAACGCAGTCTTTGCGGGCCAAACTTCTCAACTTCACAGGTCTTAGAGTTTAACTTGGACGTTTTCCAAGATACTGCTCCTCGTTAACCATAAGTGCCTATCCATTAATGGACTATGGCTTTTGGTTCACCTAGTGAGTTCCTTTGGGTAAAATTCACCAAAGACTCGTCTCTTTTCAATTCACTATACATCTTATGTGTTTGCCTTGATTTTATTGCCTTGCAATAATCAAAACACATGCCAACGGTGTTGATTGTTGGGATTTTTAGTGGTGTGAATGGAAATAAAAAGGGAAAGTTTCAAGAGAGTCTCTTGAAGTACCATGTTGGTAAGATGTGGGAAGGCATGGCCTCGAATTCGATCGATTTGATGTAATATGTTGTTAATTGGTTAAATTGGTTTGTGTAACCAAATGAACCAAACTGAGTTGAACCAAATCGAACCGAACCGATGTGGTGGGTGGAATAACCAAACTGGTCCAACTTCCATGAGCCCGAACCAATGCAATGATTGAAATATTTTAAACGAACCAATGCAATGGTTGGGGTGTAACCACCCATATGAAGAGTCGCCTCCCTTCGTACGCACCCCTTCATTTTCTATAAATAGCACCTAACCCCCTTTGGTTTTTAAGATCGGTTTTTTCCCGGTACCAAAATTCTGCCAAAATCCAAAACTAGTTTTCTGCATTCTTTTCAAAGAGAAAATAGAGTCAAGTGTGGTTCTCGCCGATTCGCTGCGTTCGATGGATTCCGGGGTTTGAGGTACCGCTACGCCGGAAAAGGTACGTCCTTTCTATCCTGGGAGGAATCATTCCATAACCTTGGGTACTTGAGGGGAATAAGATTCTTTAAGGAGAGATAGTGAATTCTATCGGCTAGGACGCTTGCATGTGTCTTTGCATGTTTTCTTAATCTTATGTGTTTGCTTGTGTTGCAAGAAAATAGTATACATGAACAATTTCCCCAAAAATCTTAAAGAATCTTAGTTTTTAATAATTGTTCTCGTATTCTGCTCGGCACAATCAGACGACGTGTCACCATTAGATTGCATGATGTTCTTGTGTTCGTGACTTGGTGTATATGCCATTATTTTGTCACATGAAGACTTTATTTTATATATACATGCAATTTGAAATGATGAGTGGCGTGCTTTTGCTTTCAGTTAATTTGTCATTGTGTACATATATATTTGAATTGGTAACTGCTACATGCATGGCTATCCGTTTTTCTCCTTGCAAGCAACTGCAACGCTGGTGTCCTTGTAATCCTTATCCATGTATTAATTGGACGGTTGGCATGAAACAAAGTGTTGGTTGGTATTATTTGAATGGGTAAATCCGTTGTTCTCTCTGGGCATCGAACAATTATATATACAAACGGTGTACATCAGATACAAAGATCCGGCTATAGATAATTACCTATTTAAATTGTTTCATTCTAAGTGTTGGTTCTCGAAGGCAGAAGTTTTCAACAGTTCTAGAACAAACCACTTGGCTTCTAAGTTAATCATGTAAGTACAAAGATTCGTGATTCTCTTCTGTCAATAAGCATGCTTGTGTAAATATGTCTCACTGTGTGTTCATTTTATATGCATACATTTATCATGCATAGATTCAGTGATTCACACACAAGATGCGTTCGGTTGTTAATGCACATGAGAATGATATATATATACCAAACTTTCTTTTCTTTCTTATAATTGGCAGTGGTTAAATATTTGTTTCGCACAAAATGCCAGCATTATTTTGTCAACATTGCCTAGCTCCATGCATGCATTTGATGGCTCTATGGTATAATTATATATGTGTTATAATTATCGTTATGCATGCAAATGAAGACCGTGCCAATTACAGTGGCAACGTGTGTCATTCTCTTTGAATTATAATCGCCATTTGATGTTACCATGTGTGTTCATTTTGTTAGAACAAAAATGGCTGGTAGTAACCCCGCAGTATGGAGTCCAACTCACGAGGATGATGATGATGACATCATAGAGGTCATCAAGATCGAATCAGATCCGGAGATCATTGATCTCTCTACTCCCGAAATGGAGTTTGACAATGAAGAGTGGTTCGGTTTTTTTGACGATAGCGGGGATTGGCTATATAATGACATTGGTGGAGAGCATCCAACCAATTATTGGACTCTAGATGATATACCCATCTATGATTGGTACTCAATGGGTCCTAATGTGGACGATTTGGGCACCCATGTGGACCCGATGGAGAATATGGGGGAAGAAGAGGAAGTTGAGGAATCAGAGAACGAGGAGGAGTACTCCGACATAGAGACTGATGAATGTCTCTCTAATCTTGACTTCGACCCCAAGAATCCTTAGGATTCTTCTATATGTCTTGTAATCTCCTTTGAGGAGTAGACATATGTATGTGGTATTAGTAGGTGTGTACCTATGTAATTCGTGTATTTACATGATGAATGAAGGACAAATGTTCTTATCTCCCAAGTGGAAAATTAGTTGGATAAAACCTTACGAGTTTGTTTGGTTCCAAAATTAACCACAAAGTTTTAATGCTTTTATTGCATTGGTCCATCTCAATTATGTGGCATGGATGAATGATAATTGTACCAATTTAATTTGGACACTCTTTCATTCAAGGTGATGCATGAGAGGATGTAAGTACTTATGATAGTCCTTCATGGACTCTAAGTAACGGTGGTTTGGATAGTAATAAACTATCTAGTGGGAAACTATGAACAATCATAGGTGTGTAAAACCTATGGCGCGTGGCAAGTGGGGACTTGTGAGTCAAGTCTATCTAAGCCATAATGTTTGCATAGGTTATGTTCAAAGTAAGTTGAACATAGTTATGAAAGAGTATACCTCCAATGTGTTGGAGATGAAATTTGGTTAATGCACGTTTAAGGATTGCATTACGAGAAAGCTACAAGCGATAAGGATTTTTAGTTCCTATGATAGTTGTGAAGACATGATAATTTATTTATCATGTATGTGGTTTATGACTTGATGTTTCCTATGCCATTAGGGCAAGGAAAATGAAGCTATGATTGATCCTTATAGGGATTTAATAAGCTTGCCAAATGATGGTCGTCATCAAGATAAGCATTAGTTCAGAACTGTTTATGGTATAAGTACACTATACCATTGGAAAACAATGTGACTATGATTATCGTTGTGGAGCTAGTTGCCAGAACTGTTTATGGTATATATTGGCATGAGAGCTCAATTGAGATGATCTTATTGAACTTAAAGTCTGGATTACTTATGGTATATTTATGAAGTTTATACCATTGGAAAGTAATTAGACAATTGGATAAGAAATTCGTTTGAATTACTTGTGGTATTTCATGTTACACAAATGAAATGTCATTGGTAAGTAATTAGATGGGATTTCCATTAATGGAATGCATCTGAATTACTTATCACGTCTCAAGTTGCCTGGATCAATACCATTGGTGAGTAATTAGATGATATTTCTAATAAAATCTGAATTGTTTGTGGTATGCTAATCGAGTGAGATCATACCATTGGTAAAAAATTAGATACATATAGTGGTTGACAAGTTCAAAAAGTAAAACCATGGAAAATAAATGGGATTATTCCATGATGTTTGGTAAAGGGTAGAATTGTGGGGGAGAAAAGCAAGCCATTGTTCCGATTAACTATTGGCTTATTCCCCTTTCATTCTCATTCACACCTTTCAAATCCCAACAATCCCCCACATGAAAGTCAATGCTAAGTTTTGAAAACGATGCAAAACCTGTGTGACTCTCAACTAAGAATTAGTTGTATTAGGATAGGTGGGTTTCCCTTTGAACCTTCCCTAGTGAACATATATCGAGTATACTCACCAATCGGTAGATATGATATCTTTGAACCGTCGGTTTTTTCTTGTATACTAAGACAACATATGTCACACAACCAACTCTTATCCGCTCGTTGGTTCTCATTGTTGTGTTCGTTTCAGCCATGAACACCGCCTGGTTTCTTGAGTGCGTAGAGAATTGGCCTTCTTTTATTCTCCTTAAAGCGGCTCCACTTCACACTCACATAGGTGATTTCTAAACATGTATTCCGAAAATACACTATTTGATCACAACACGTGTCAAACTTAGAAACCATTAAAAACCTTTCATATTTAGGTTTACCCTTATATTTTGGACATTGTCTCATCATGAGAATGGACTTTGAATAAGTTGACAATGTCGGACCATCATTCACAAATTTGTTTTCTCCTTGAACCTAGAGGTTGGGTCTGCCAATCCTGCTTAGGTAGAGTTACCGCCATGATGATTTGTCCTAGGCCACGAGTCCATTCCCTTTGATGCTATCGTTAATTTCTAGGTAGGCCTAACATTTGTTATCACTTGATCTAAGATGATCAATCCAAATAACTTTGCTAGAAATTAATCAATCCATAGTGTTACGTTTCCATTATCTTTGACGAGATTTATCACATAACACTCCTAGCCCTTGCAATAACACCTTTGTGCATAAGTGCGTTTTATTAACGCCAGTCTTTGCGGGCCATACTATAGAACTTCACCGGTCTTAGAGTGGGTACAGAGTTGAACTTGGAAGTTTTTCCAAAGTACTGCTCCCCATCAACCATAAATGCATATTCATTATTAGATTGTCTTTTGGTTCATCCGGTGAGTTCCCTTTGGGTACAATACACCAAAGACTCGTCTCTTTTCAATTCACTACACATCTTGTGAGCTTGACTTGATTTATTGCCTTGCAATAATCATAACACATGCCAACGGTATTGAAGTCTCTCCACTTCATTAACCTTAGAGTACTTGAGCTTCACCAGTATCTCTTTAAATGTAGTGACATTTATGACTTAGCTTAGGGTTTACGCAAAACTTCTAAGTATAACTTTCACTTAAGAATCACCCAAGCGACATTCCACATTACTTCTCCCCAATTTATCCCCCACATTTCAACTATTTCGCCATAGTTGTTGAAACCAACGTTTCCGATTTGGGGAATGTTGTTCATATACATTCATGTATATGGTCAAAATCATCTCTTTGGGAAGAGTGGATCAACATCAATAAATATTCTAGCTTTCTGACATAACGTCAATATATGCTAGAGTTTACTTATAAGTTATACCCTTTGACTGGGTTAACTCCACAAGGTTTAAGGACTCTCACTTTCTCATTGGACACCTTCATACTTTCAAGTATGACTTCGTTTACCTTTCCACTTTTGTCTTATGGATAGGTTAGCGTCTCATTGTAGGGTATTGAGATAGTAGCCGAAACAATGGCTAGCTCTTCTCCCCCATAATTCTACCCTTTGCCAAACATCATGGAATAATCCCATTTATTTTCCATGGTTTTACTTATTGAACTTGCCAACCACTATATGTATCTAATTGTTTACCAATGGTATGAACTCACTCGATTAGCATACCACAAACAATTCAGATTTTATTAGAAATATCATCCAATTACTTACCAATGGTATTGCTCAAGGCAACTTGAGACGTCATAAGTAATTTAGATGCATTCCAGGAATGGAAATCCCATCTAATTACTTACCAATGACATTTCATTTATGTAACATTATATACCACAAGTAATTCAAACGAATTTCTAATTCAATTGTCTAATTACTTTCCAATGGTATAAACTTCATAAATATACCATAAGTAATCCAGATTTTTAAGTTTGATAAGATCATCTCAATTGAGCTCTCATGCCAAATTGTTTTCCAATGATATATATCTATATATACCATAAACAATTCTGTCAATGAGCTTCACGTTGATAATCATAGGTCATAAACAATTCTGACCTAATGTTTATCTTGATGACAACCATCATTTGGCAAGCTTATTAAATCCCTATAAGGATCAATCATAGCTTCATTTTCCTTGCCCTCATGGCATAAGAAACATCAAGTCCTAAACCACATACATAATAAACAAATTATTATGTCATCACAAGCATCTTAGGAATTATAATTCCTTATCACTTATGGCTTACTCGTAATACAATCCTTTAAGCGTGCATTAACCAAATTTCATCTCCAACACATTGGAGGTATACTCTTTCATAACTATGTTCAACTTAATTTGAACTAAACCTATGCAAACATTCTGGCTTAGATAGACATGACTCACAAGTCCCCACTTGCCATGCGCCATAGGTTTTACACACCTATGATTGTTCATAGTTTCCCACTAGATAGTTTATTACTATCCAAACCACTGTTACTTAGAGTCCATGAATGACTATCATAAGTACATCCATCATCTCATGCATCACCTTGAATGGAAAAAGTGTCCAAATTAAATTGGTACAATTGTCATTCATCCATGCCACATAATTGAGATGGACCAATGCAATAAAAGCATTAAAACTTTGTGGTTAATTTTGGAACCAAACAAACTCGTAAGGTGATAACGATGTAATTGCACATGTTTGCGCCCCTAGTTCTTATCCGTTTGAGGGGCATAGTCGTGTATTGTGGCCTATTTTACGCCGGGTTGTGCTATTTTGTCATGTTTCAGGTCCCAGACGTTAAAGGGAAGGCTAACCGCGAGTTTCGGGGCATTCGGAAGTCATTTCGGTGAGCAGGAGGCAAAACACGGGCAGACCCAAGGCATTACACGGCCGTGTACTGCTGGCCGTGCTTTTTATGCCGAGAGCAAATTTGGTTTGGCCAATTCAGTTGCAAACACGGGCACTGAAGCACGGCCGTCTTCAGTCAAAGCACGGCCGTGTCCATCGCGAAGCACGGCCGTGTTTCCACCAGCTGCTGGCCGTGTAATTAAACCTTGGCCGAGACACGGGCGGAGTCAGGCAAAGCACGGCCGTGTCCTCGACCGTGCTTTGGCCACTGATGCTTTTAAGCAGAGTTTCAGCCACAATTCAAGGGGATTCGAGTTTTTGAGAGAGAGATCAGTTCCTAGAGAGAGAAAGTGACGAGCAAGAGTTCCCAAGTGCCCTAGATTGATCTTCAACACAATTGGAGGCCAACTTGAGCTTGGAGAAGTGCCAATCAACGTCCAGAAGCAGGAATCCATCCTTCGCAGTATGAATTCCGTGTCTGATTCTGCTTTTGCTTTCTTCTCCATGGAGTAGTTCTCCCATTCATCTGGGTATGGAGAACCCTAGATTTGTATGTTAGGCTTTGATTGTATGAACCCAAGTACTGATTCTATGATTGATTATATTCGATTGAGGTTTTAATGATTGAATGACTTGAATCCTGATCAAATACCTGTTGTTTCTGCTTTAACCTAGAATGAGAATATCTGCCTAGGTTAATAGAGTATCCTTGATTGAAGGTAGGGAGTTGGTGACTTTAGTCGAGGAGCCAACTCACTATTCTGTACCGGATTTACTCCGGTAGTGGAGGTTTTGTTCTTAGGGCCTCAATCTGTCAACTCCGGTGGAGGTTAGTCGCCCGCTAGAGAGTCAGATTGAGAGGGTCTGAAGACCTTTAGTCGAGACTTCAGGCTGTTTAAGAACCTTCCGCAGTATAACTGTCATAGAAACTGAACTTGGTAATTACAATCCGGCTTAACTGCAGTCTAGGGGGAACCATATCCGGGTGACCTCTTTAACCTGAATACAACAGTTTACTTGCTTTGTTAGTTTGTTAGTTTAGACTTGCATTCCAGTTTCATTGCTAGATAACAAGAATTCACTGAGTAGTCATCAGATCTAGGACCCGGGTTGACATATAAACCTAACCCGCTATACTACG